TTTTTTTCATGCGCCGAGAACAATTAATTCTTTATCACCCAAAATTGAAATATTATAGAATGAAAATTATAGTCCATCTTCGAACAGGCTAAATATGTTGACATAATTTGGATTTACTGCAGATTAATTGAAACAAATGGAAAGATATACCTACTACCTGTTATGAATAAGTAATCAGTAAAGTGTCATTTAAATCCACTTAACTTAACGTATGGAAAATTAATAAGAAAAGTTGATGATCATGTATACCTACTCATCTGTAGTTGTTTACATCCACTTGAAAATTAAGAAAATTAACGTAACACATGGAAAAGTTGAATCAACTTCAATTTGAGGAAATCCGTATGTTAAGTTACGTTAAGTGGATGTAAATGACCCTTTAGTTGTTAATGTACAAGGTCATCGGTCATTCAACGAGGACTGAACAGAGGTTAACAGGGAATTATTTTTGACTTTCCCTGTATTTTTGAGAAATTTGAAAATAGCCAATTGGAATTTTTTTTTCTGGAGAACTCAAAAATGGTACTAGAAACATTTAAACCAAAAACCAAAGAGTTACACCATGGATGAGCGGTTTTTTAAATGGAACAGCCTGTTTTTTGTATGATTTTTGGAGAAGTCACACTCTTTTACATGCATTCTGTTGAAAATATCTGATTTATCGAATATTCCGATAGCTGTTTTTATCTTATTTTGATGTTTTATTCTTATTCCTGCAACTATTGATTTAATTGTTGTTTGTCCGAATAAAATCCATCATATCAAAAGATACAAAAATCCAAGCAAAAATTCTTCACTGCGATCCACAAGAAGAATCGTTATAAACGAGAATTTTTTTAGAAGTATTGCGAGACTTCGCGCGGTAATTTGAGGGTATTTCGGGTACTTCGACAGTAATTCCATGGGATTTCGCGTACTTCGGCGGGAATACCTGGTATTTCGAGGTACTTCACGGTATTTCTAGGTACTTCGAAGTATTTCGGAGGTAATTCGGGCCAAGTGTACACGTATTTCGGGAAGTGGTTGACCCCTCGTGTTTGGCCTTGATTGGTCGCAAAATGAGGTGTCCCTGCAGGTTGACATCAGTTTTACAATGCATGTCGTGCAAATGGCATTTTGCGACCAATAAGCGGCATTGTTTATGTTTCAAAGTTGACAATGTCATAATCTATCTTGGGAAAAAAATAATCTGTAAAGTCTTTTTTTTTAAAGATAAAAGTCAAAATGACATTAGGTTGGCAATACAATGTAAAATTGTCAAAGCATTCAAAATTTTTATGTAGAAAAGGCTTGTGTTGCCAACATATTTACTAAATTTTTTACTTGGGGAATTATCTTAAAAAAAATAAAAAATGTTTGAGTATTTTACGCTGACTATTTTAATAGAGTGTTTTACACTGGTAAAATGTCATAGGAATTGCCGGTTTCCTATTGACAAAACTCCTACCTGGACAAAACCAACATGATGGTTTTTCAGCAACAAAATGTTGTGTGGTTAGAGTAAAAAACTATTAAGTTTGACAAGTGTCACCTAAAGAATAGTATATTACATACCGAGTAGGGAAGTGTTTCATTACTGTCGAGAGATTTATAGTCTATTAATCTTGAGACAGAAATGAAAACTTTCCTCCGAGGCTTGTATACTATTCTATTTGCAAGCACACCATTAATTATGATTAGTCAATCAATTTTTTTAATATTAAAAAAATAAAACAAACATGCCAAAATGTGTCATTCATTGCTTTGACGTTTTTACCTGACATGTTCTCATTGTTGCCAGCAAAGGTAAATAAATTAGAGTGAGGGAAGTCGAATAGGGAAATCGGTGAGGGAAATCGAAGAGGGAAGTGACACAGGTAAAGTGTCACTTCCAAATTTTTAAAAAGTCAGTAATGGCAAGATTACATATATATGATTGCAAATAAAATAAATTTTCCAAATGAAAATTTGGCTTGTTTTTCTTGTGAAATAGTCCAGCCGAATACCACTCAAGAAAAAATTATGTAGGCAAAATTATTCTCTTGATTTTATTCAAGTTTGTTGCTTTTTGGTAATTATGTATTCTATAGTCCAGATTACCTGTGATTCTATAATCCGGATCATAATTTTTTGCGCATTTCGCGAAGCGCTACAGTTGGTGTTACCAAAGTATGTGTCGGTGAATCCCCTTATTTCATCCAAAGCGATGCGTTTGTTTCCGTGACAAGGATGGAAAGCTCGGTAGGAAGCATCATGGCGCCAAATAGAGCACGCAAAACGTTAACTCTAGCGGAAAAACACGATATTTTGCAAACATTAACTGTACCTACTAATGTCTGTTTTTTTTTTTAAGATAAAAGTCAAAATGACATTATGTTGGCAATACAATGTAAAATTGTCAATGCTTTCAAATTTTTTATGTAGAAAAGGCTTGTGTTGCCAACATAGTTACTAAATTTTTGACTTGGGGAATTATCTTTTAAAAAAAAATAGACTTTATGTAATAAGCACCTATTTTGAGTTAATAAACTACAGTTTTTGACGTATTTCTGTGACTTTTCAAAAGTTTCCAATAATCCAGATGTTTCATTAATTCGGATTGCCTTGGTTTTTATTGATCCGGATTAGTGAAGCTTCACTGTATTAGTATATTTCACACGAGTGTTTTTTCGCGCGAGGCGGTAGCCGAGTGCGAAAATCACACGAGTGTACCTATGAAAGACGATTTCTCACCAGTGATGTACACCATTTTTCCTACGACCAGAATCCGATTTCCACCCATTTTCTTTTATTTTATTTCTCTTCATTTTCAACACATGTGCTGAAAGTACTTTCAATCCATGTATTGAAACTAAATTATGATGTCAATCACAAATAATGTCAACAGTATTTTCCACACGTGTGCTGAACGTACTTTTAGCAAGCGTATTGAAAGTACTTTCAGCACGTGTGTGATATTTCGCACTTTCCAAAGAACCAGCTAGTGCGGATTTTGTTATTTTCGTATGTGGTCATAGGAAAAATAAATTTATTTATTTTTTTGCTATAATCATCTCTTGAGATTTTGGAAATATGAATTAAGGGATTTTTAGGGATGCTGATTCCTAATTTGATGCAAAAAATTATCTAAAATAAGCCCTAATATCTTTTTCACAAAAATACAACCACTTTTTATCCCCCAACACCGAACCCGCACGCCAATGGTAAATAGGGTTGCCAGATTGGAATATCTACAAATCGGGTATAACAATCAAAGAGCTGTTAAAAAATCGGGACATTCAATAAAAATCGGGACACTTTTTTTTTTAAAGGAATAATTCAATATAAAGGAAATAAAATGTAACTGAACAATAAAACATGTAACAAAATTCAAAAATAAAAAATAACGCGATTCATTTAATCCCAGGGAAATAAAGTAAAAATTCAATCCTTTGGGAAATGAATTGAAATTTAATCTCGGGGATTAAAAGACCCACTTTACCCCCTTAAAAGGGCCAAATTATGGACCGACTGATAAGTGTCAGGTTGTTACCTAGCAGATACTTTCTATTCTTTAGAGCATGGAAAGTACCTGCTAGGTAATAACCTAACACTTATCAGTCCGTCCATAATTTGGCGCTAAAACAGGGATTAAAAGGGTAATTTTAATCGTTAAAGTGCATAAAATGAATTTAGTGTATTCTTATCGTCGAAACCAAAAGAATCTTGACATAATTATGAATAATAGTAATAGATAATTACCAAATTAACAAGTACAATTCAAAATAAGTTTCTTATAAGTGTACTTTTAATTTTATCCAACTTTTTAAAAAATTCCGTGAAATCGGGACATTTAGCGTCCCGACGTATAGTCCATCGGGACACGGGACAAAATCTCCAATATCGGGTCTGTCCCGTTAAAATCGGGACGTCTGGCGACCCTAATGGTAAATGAAAATGTTTACTATGTCAAATAGTTCATTTTTCTAACATACAATCACCACCAAAATTTGAATGAAATCGCATTATTAATAACTGAGATATCGGGGTGTATTCATGAAAAGCGGGACACACTATATGATAATTTTGCAAATCAATCACTCAATAACTGATACAGACACTGGTGACACACAATAATTATAAAATCGTTTAAACAACGATTATTACGACTACAAAAGTCAGAAGCAGAAATTTCCCGCCAATTTCTTTGAATAGTTCTGATTGGTCAGCCTTGAAATTCCGCATTTGAACGAGGTTCCGACTTCGCAAAGTTAGGTGATTTCGCGGGATTGCTGGCGATTTCGTAGGATTCCGCAAGGATTGCGCGCGATTTCGCAAGGATTGCGCCCGATTTCGCAAGGATTGCGCCCGATTTCGCCTGATTTCGCAACGATTGCGCGCGATTTCGCATGATTGCGCAGGGATTTCGCGCGATTTGTGACAGTATTGCGCAGAGTGGTTTACCCCTCGGTTTTGTCTGACTACCTTATGATTTTAAGATCACAAGATCAAGTAATAGGTAGGTAGTATTAATAGTTATTTTTTATACAAGACGATAAAATGGTAGTTTATCGTCGTGTGTAAACCAAACTTTTTTCCATAGTCCAATTACGGACGCCTGTAGTATCAAAAATATTTAGAAATTATTTGAGTCAAACACTTTTGCATAAGTAGAAATTCGTTTGACAAACTTTGACAAATAAATAAAAAACAAAATATATATATATATTTGACAAAATAAACGTCTTTATCTATCCTTGCTGTTAAAGTATCATTTAATCTATCCTTGTGGTTAAAGTACTACTTTATCTAAATACTATTTTTAGTAGATTAGTAGCTATGGAAAAAAATAACTAATTTAAATTAAATTTTAGTATAAAACCACCTTAATTTAATAAGGAATATGTAACAATAAAAAAATGACTAGTTTCAATGTTAAAATTTCTGTATTATCAATATATGAAATAAACATAAAATACAAAACCAATAAAATAGAAAATCATAAAAAATAAACAATAGAGCTGCATTTTTTTTTAACTTACCCCAAAATGATTCAATAATTATTAACAATTTGCAGTTTTATTTCTTATTGAAAGACAAATACAAAAATTTAGAAAAAATCAACACGAAATCGCGGCCTTTTAAATAATTTCTGGGATTTGTTTACAATCATTTACCCAAACAAACAATTCGAAAAAACAGGACAACAAACATACAGACCCGACGCCATCTCGCATTGAACTGAAGAAAAATTTCATTTTCTCCTATCCCTAGAAGTTGAGTTTTTGTTTTATTTGTCTTGTCCTTTTTCATCTCAATAACAGCCAGGCGTGCTAGAAAGGGACACAAATTTGTTTAGAGAAACGAATAGCCCTCCCAAATCGATTCTTGTAATAATTAGCTTTCAAGGTTTTAATTTATTAATAACTAGTTTCATTTAGTGAAAATTACCCATTGGTTATCAATTAGATAAGTGAATGTTTTTGAATTTGGGGCTTTTATTTGCATAAAACCTGGCAAATAATATTTGCGAATAGAGACGGCAACGCTGTAATTTTTGTTTTCTCTGTTGGTTTCAATTTGTTAGAAGGGGATAGAAATGGTGAGTGCATTCAACTGACGTACTTTTGTAGGCACTTTGAAATTACTACTTGTGCAACTGACAATTTTTGAATTTTGCTTTGAGGTTATAAAATTTGAAATAAAAACGGAATCTTGTTTTTTTTTTTTTTTGCACTTTTAATAATGAAAATTCCAAATATACTGAATTATTTTTAGCAGCAAAATGGGTAAGTTCCATTCAATACTTCAAATAATTGTAGCCCCCTTTGCGACAATTTTATTCTCAGATAATTCCAACGTAGATCTGCAAGTGTCTGATGAAAATAATGATTTACCACCGCCACTCAGTTTACTTGGCGATGCCGCATCTAGAGCAGCCAAAATTAATTTCGCACCTGCCCCCCTTGAAGAACTTACTGCTCCAAAATCCATTGGTGATTTGTGTAAAGTAGCAGCTGCACAACAAAAAGAGCAACAAGCCTTGCTTAAACAACACCAAGATCTTATCGACAGGATTAAAAAACTCGACTCATACATTGAGGAAAAAAAGAAGGAAAAGGCAAATCTCATGCACGATTTATCATTGACTAGCGAAGACTACAAGATAGCGGCAAAACCTTTGATTAAAGCAGTCAAAAAGTATTCCACCTGCCTAGACATGCAAATTAGTATCAACCAACATGAAAATGAACAATTCTTTGTGGCTGCAGTTAAATTTTCCACTAAACCACAAAGTAAACCAATCAATTTTATAATTGATTTGAAAAACAGAAATATTTTAGGTAAATAGTTGATAGTTTCAACTAGATTAGGTATAGAAATTAATTAATTTTTAATTTGAAATAGATTTTGATGCTGAAACTGCCTTGGGTGCAGATGAAGCTGGGAAATTGAAGCAACAAGCAAAGACTGAAGACGGTTGGGATCTTGATATAGTTTTAAAGAAATTGAAGGATTCTTCAATTTAATTATAGTCATTGTTTGTTTAATTTATTATATCGGGTCTTCAAAAAAAAAACCAATCAAAGATTGCTATGGTTTTTCAAACGTACCTATGTCTTAGCAATATGTTTTTTTAATTTTGCCAATGAACTTTAATGTCAAAATGTCATGTCAAAAATCCTGACCAATAAAAAAACAGTAATGCGACCTACGTTTTTGTAATCAAAGCAATCTTCGATTGGTTTTTTTTTTGAAGACCTGATATCTTCTTGATAAAAGTGCAGTATAGCTTGGTCACCTGACACCTGAAATGTTTTTTTTCTTCTGATTATATGTTTTAATATAATATATTCTTATGATTCATAGTAATAGGTCTGTTTCTGCAGAAATCACAAACCAGTCAGAGCGAATTTCATTGGTTAAAAACAGTCAGAAAACTAGTTTCAACCAATGAAATTCACTCCGACTGGTTTGTGATTTCTGCAGAAACAGACCTAATATATTTTCATGTTTGAATTTTTTGTCAAGTTCCCTATTCTAATTTTCCCGCCTCCTAAATTTCAAATTTTGCGATTTCGCAAAATATTGAACTCTGGCAGATGTCACTTTTCTGGACTAGCCAATAGGAGCGGCCTCCAACTGTCGGTACTGAATTTACTGGACGCCGTTCCGATAATTATTTTCAGTACTGAATGACCACAAGAGTACGTTGTTGAAATCGGAACGGCAAATGACAGTAAAATCGGCACAGTAAATCCAGTACTGAATCAGCCCAGGATTTTCTCTACAATGGATTTTGTGTCAAATATGACAATATAAGGTGAGTTCGGCTTGGCAACTCTTTTGACCCCTTTGACCCTTTTCACTAATTGTATTCCTTTCAAGAGTTTGAAACACTCGAGCTACTCGCTCCGGTGTTCAGTCGCCCCCGATTTGCAGGAAACAGATGCGTGGTGCAACAAACACTTTTCGAAAGGAATAAGTGCGTGAAGCCCCGGAGTTCCTCCTAGGTGTGAAAGGAATACAACTACTGCAAAGTCGTTCGGGTCACGCCGCTGAGAGCAAATAGTGCAAGCCCCTCATCGTTCGGGTACAGCCAAGTAGAGTGAAAAGAGTTAACTCCACAGGCACCACCTCGAGAGATGAAGCTCGAGGAGCGGGCATGCGCACTTCCTATATTTCCAAAAGGCGGTAAAATTAAAGCTTTCGATAATTCACTATCCTAACGATAATAACCTAAAGAGTTCAAAGAAGATATTTTTTGCTTAGGGCTTGGTTGCCTCCTGGAACTCCTGGTAGAAAAAATGACTTCGCTCCCCATAATATCCGTAAAAACACATGTTCTGGTTTGTGATGGGAATAATCTCGTTCTTAAGCCTAGTACTCATAACTGCGAAATTCGCATTTTTTTGACATTGCGTTGACGTTTTATGCGTGTATCAAACGTCAATTTGTCAAAGCAATGTCAAAAAAATGCGAATTTCGCAGTTATGAGTACTAGGCTATAGGGTGGATTTTCATGCATCCGTTTGTCCGACGAAAGATGTCCGAAAAACATTCTATTCTGACATAATCGTATAAAAATAGGTCAAAATAGAAGATTTTTCGGACATATTTCCTCGGAAAACGGATGCATGAAAGTCCGCGGGCTATGCCCTATTACATCTGTGTATTTTTCCGTGTATTTATTCATGTAGTTCAGGGTGACAACCGAAAAACTTCAAACGCAACATAAATCAGCATTATGAAAAACAAAATAATATTCGCACCCTGAACTACATGAATAAATATAAGTAATAAAAAAATGCTAATAGAAGAAAAAAGTGAATACCTATTTTTGTTTTTATATTACATACTTCAAATTAGATTCTTTTATCTGGGAACAATTGTTTATTGTTTAATAATAAAATGGAATGTTTTCGAACATCTTTGCGCAAACGCCCACGGCATTCGTGGGCGGCGGACCTTGCTCCCCTGCGATGCGTTCGACTAGGGCGCGTTTGGGTTCACGCTCGGTGCACTCAGAGCTTACACTTTTGTCTCTCTTTCCTTATTTTTGAAGCTCCGACAACGCTTGATTGTGTTTGGTTTGACATATTTTGAGCGCTCAGAGCGAGCTCGATAAACTCCGAGTTTGTGGGGTGGGCAGCTGGAGCGTGCATGCGCAGTTTAATCTGTCTGTATAACCTAACCTATTTTCCATAAGATAAATAAATAAACAATCCTGAATTTTAACATATACTTGTTAGGTGGATAGTTTTAGCTATTTTGTTTAAATATTAACAATCAAATAGCTAGTAAATTCTACATAATTGTTTACTTTTAATTAAATTTTCTCGATAGTCCTCATCACTGGTATTATTGAACATATTTTTCCTAGGGAACTTGGCAGCCTCAGAGTGTTTAGGTCCGTTTTATTGTTTATGTACCACGACATTTTTTGCAAATTCAGAAAAGAAAATGGGCTGTTTGAAAATTATCGACTAAAATGCAAAACAAACGAGAAAACTCTGGTGCAAATGCGGAATGCGGGCTCGGAATCCAAAAAATATATGCTAAGAAAAATACGCAATAATCAGCTGATCGCTCACGCAGCATTTTTGCACAAGTTTATTTGGCTTGACACGGTGTACTCCCTTGTCGTCACGTTACTCTGTAATCGCTCTGCTCGCTCCGCCGAGCGTCAACCCAAACACGTCCTAACCACTTTACTCTTTTCACTCTGCGATCACGTAACTATGAAACTGCTCTTTATCCGCTCCAACTCCGTTTTGCCAAGCTGAACTCACCTATAAGAGCCGCTTTCGGGTGCAGAGTGCATAGGCGCCGGAACCATGGGGGCAAGCCCCCATAGTGAACTTGCTATAGTGATTTTGATATTGTATGTAGTGAGTTTAGTAGGTAGGGTAGGTACAGAGGGTGATCTATTATAAATGTCACCCGTCTTAACTTTTTCATTTGGCGCTTTTGAAAGAAGTGTCAAATACAAAAGCTTTAAGAAATTGTCAAAAGTTTTTAACTAAAGTCAGTAGGTATTAAGCATACAGGGTGCGTCAAAAAAGGGTAGCAGAGCAAAGTTATATTTTTTAAAATGGAACGGCAAGCGTATATGTGCACTAATTTCAATTTGTTAGTCCTCTTCAACCTGAGTTCAACGATATACGGTTTGTTTTGTTTACCTCTAATAGTTATAGGGAAAAACGCGAAAGCCTCGTCATAGGTCTCATTTTAATTTATTTAAATAATAATAACTTAAGGAAACTGAATTTATTTTAATATTTCAACCCTCGATTTCACCTTGTAAATTAATGGAATAACATAATTTGAACAATAAACTGTTTATATTTAATAATTGTCTATTGTCTCTAAAGCTATTTATTGATATCTATAATTTTTCTTTCTTCAACATGAGTCCTTGGCAAGGGGTTTTCACATTTTTCCCTATAACTATTGAAGGTAAACATAGCAAACCATACATCGTTGAAATCAGTTTGAAAGGGACTAACAAATAAACGCACAATATACATGACATGCTGTTCCATTCAAGAAAATATAACTTCGCTCTGCTACACTTCTTTGACGCACCCTGTATGCTTAATACCTACTGACAATAGTTGTATTCCTTTCAAGAGCTTGAAACACTCGAGCTACTCGTTCCGGTGTTCAGCCGCCCCCGATTTGCAGGGAACAGATGCGTGGCGCAACAAAACTTTTCGAAAGGAATAAGCGCGTGAACCCCCGGAGCTGTTCCGGAGCTCCTCCTAGGTGTGAAAGGAATACAACTTTTTAGTTAAAAACCTTTGACAATTTCTTAAAACTTTTGTGTGTGACACTTTTGTCAAAAAGGTCAAATGATAAAGTTAGGAGGAGGTGACATTTATAATAGATCACCCTGTTCAAAAACATTGAGTTCCTACCTACTTATTTATTTTTATGTCAAATTATTTGTGTTTTATGTCTTTGTTGTTTTTGCTATAGGTACCTATTTTGGTATTTAAAGCTGTATTTTCGGATTGGGATCATTATATACTATATATTTATATATATTCTTATCGTATTTTTTAATGATAATGTTCACATCACATGAATATAAATATCATGAATACACTGGCTTTTTTCAGCTAGTATATTTTGGAAACTTAATATACAATATACAAACCGGATCATCCTACTAGACACATATTTAACTAAGAAGACAAGCCTCTACCCAGTTAAGGCGAATCGAAGCGGTGCTGTCAAAGCCGAGTATTGCCGAGCTGCCGAGGATTCACGAATTTCAATAATAGGCCTGTTCGCACAGCAATCACAAACCAGTCAGAGCAAATTTCATTGGTTGAAAACAATCAGAAACAGTCAGAAAACTATTTTCAACCAATGAGATTCACTCTGACTGGTTTGTGATTGTTCTGCGAACAGGCCTAATATTATGCAGGGAAGATGATCCAGAGTGGCGATCCTGCAGTGGATTTTTGTATCAGTCAACTGGTCCCATTTAATCGTTTTTTTTGTGCTCGAGCCCCCATAGTAATTTTGAAGTTCCGGCGCCTATGGCAGAGTGTACAGCTCCTGGAGCGCTCCACACTTTTATACTCCTCTGCGCTTTGCACTAAACGCCTGAAAATCAGTTAAATACGTCCGATTTGACAATTTGTCCCATAAATTCTCCTGATCGTGAACGCATCACTAAAAAGGTTGTGCTTCAGGGGAAAGGGGTGAGGAAAATCAGAGCAGTTCGAGAGCGTCAAACTCTGTTTACCCAAAGGGAAGTAACTACTACTAAAGATTCTACTACGGAGTAACTCGGGAGCGCTCAAATCGTGGCACCCGCAAGCGGCTAAGGAATACTTTAGCCGCTTTCCAGCTGACGCTTTTTAGCACGCAAACGAGCTTTTGCGCGCGCAAATGCTTCAAGCGCGTGTTCGTGTTCCAGCCGTACTGCGCTTCGAGAGCTTGCTAACTTTTGCGTTTCAAACACAGAACCACACAGAACACTGTGCTGCACCGTGCTTGAAGCACACAGCTGGAAAGCGGCTTTTATCGGCCTCGTTTTTGGTAATCGCTGCCATATTGGTGTGCAACCATTGCCGACGTCATCAGGGTTGCGTTTAGAAATAGCACTCTGGGTGTGAGTGTGACCCTAGAGTAACTCTAAGCCGTTTATAAATTAACAGGAGTTCAAAGACGGCAATGCTAATGCCAAAACCTACTTTTCCCCTTCTACCGGCAATGCCAAATCTGTGTGAATTTGGAACGCCAAATATCAGTCTCGTTTTGTCCTCGCCAGAGTGTGGGCGGTTGGTTTAAGGAGCTCAAAGAGCTTCACCGGGTGGTGCACTAGAGGCGTGTAGAGACCAAATTTTGGCTCACCTCCGCGAGTAAAAACCGAGATTCATCGCCATCCGTGGATTTGTTTGCGTCTTTTTGACTAAGCCGGCTTAGATTCCTAGATAAACAGAAGGTTCACGCGTGGTAACGTTGGCAAAATGGCGGCCAGAGTCTGAGACTCGTGAAAACGCTGTTTGTTTTGACAGAGAAAGGTTATATCCGGTTTCAGCGATTGATCTAGGCAAATCCTGGATGTGCCTTTCATATTAAGAAAAATTGAAGATAGAAGAAAAGAGTGAAACAAATAGGGGACCTATGATATGGCCTAGAGCCAGACAACATCAGGGTCGCCACGAAATCGTGCTGGCAAATTGCCTCAGTAGCAGCGCCATTAAAACAAGCAAGCAAGCAAGCAACGCCAAATATCGTTTCTCAATTAGGCAATCCAAACCACGTGACATTCAAGATGGCGTGGCGTCCACACATGGACGAAAAAACACAAAATATATCTAGTTTCTGCCCAACTCAATAGTTTACGTACCTACAAATATTTTATTGAATAATCAAAATCAAAGCTGCAAGCAAAATATTTGAAATATGCATGAAAACACATATTCAAAACTAACTTGCTGGGCGCCACGCCATATTGAATTTGGTCTCATCCAATCAAAATTCGTATAACCATTTCTAGACTTAGTTAAAAGCACCTCCAAAAGTTACTTTACCGCGACCGATTCAGGGGTGCGATTTTCGAAACCATTCGAGTACATTTCGTACACGAAATTTGACTTCTCCCCATTTAATTTACATTGCTGTCAGTCAAATTTCGTGTACGAAATGTACTCGAATGGTTTCGAAAATCGCACCCCTGAACGTGAAAAGCCAACCGTTTTTGGCACGCTGAAGCCGAACTTGAACGCAATATGCCAATTTTGGCTTGGCTTTAGCTGTTTTTGAACGCAGCCCAGGTGATTACTCGGAGCGTTACACTGGAATCGTTCAGAAATCGAGAGTTGACGTGCCCAGAGTGCGCCCAAATTACCCCACTTGGGTTGAAAAACGCCCTGCGGTTTTTACCGGGTTTGACGTTGACATTTAGCGCAACACCCCAATTAGGTTCAGAAAAGGCGCACCCTGATGACGTCAGAACACTCTGACAAACAGTTACTCTACCTTCACACTCTATTTCTAAACGCACTCCAGCTGTTTAAACAGCATACGTCGAGGCGAGAAATAACATACTGTCTACGTCACAACTGGTTGTTTGGCATAGGGGGGAAGGTAGGGATTTGTTACACACAGGCCTTATGAGGATAGGCCATCCTGTAGAAGTAGTGTGTATCATCTTTGTAGCTGATGAGCTCGTTTTACAATAGGAAAAAACGGGTGTTCCACTTTTTATGCTCACGACTGTACATTCGTTGTTTATTTCTTTATTTTCTTTGTGAATTCGATTTGCATTTGATCATGGATCCAGCTACCATTTTTAAAAACGTTGTGATGGTCTCAGAATAAAAAAAAAAAAAACAACACCATGAAACTATCGTTCTGAAAATATTGGGGCGTTGTGGTAAATGTCAATAACCGTGAAAATCACGTCATACCCAGTAAAAACCGCGGAGCGTTTGGGCGCTTTATGGGCGTTTTCTTTTATTCAGCAATGGAATCCATCTGCTGCCAGTATTATGAGACAGCCATTCCGATTTTCTATGAACTAGACAAAGATAGGCAGGTCATTGATGGATCCACCGCTGAGAAAGCGCCCTTTTTCTATCCAGGCTCTGCTGAGGGCCAGTTTCTCAATAGCGAGTCACCCCCGGGTTGGTTTTTAACTCCAGAGTTAACGTGTAAAATTACAATATTTACCCTGGAGTTAGCTTAACCCGGAGGTGATCTGCTATTGAGAAGCCGGCCGTGAGTGGGGTATTTTGGGCGCACTCTGAGCACGTCAAGTCTCGATTTCTGAACGATTTCAGCGTAACGCTCCGAGTAAGCACCTAAATATTAATTTATGAACGGTTTAAAGTTATTATAGGGTCACCCTCACACCCAGAGTACTATTTATAAACGCAACCGGTGTAATTTTACCGGGCTGGTGCTATAGGCCTATTCGGGTTTGGAAAAAGTACGGTTCTAGAACGGTTCAGAAGAATCGCACAGTTTATTATTGAAATTTGTGATAATCGAGTCGTCGTTATTTTGTTGATCAATAAACTGGACGATTGTTTTGAACCGTTCTAGAACCGTCCTTTTTCCAAACCCGAATAGGCCCTATTATGTATCCCGTCGTGAACGCTGGATCGCGCCCGGGCGTCTATTTTAGGTCTGTTCCAACACGTCAAAAACCGTCCCATGAACGGTTTCGAAACCACTCAGTGAACGAATTTCGGTTTCTAAAGTGTGTTTTTTTTTTAAAGATAATTCCCCAAGTCGAAAATTTAGGGCCGGATTTATAGTCGCTCCTTGACGTTTCCTCAGATCTTAAGGAGGCGTTGAACGTTTAGAATTGACATGACTAACTTGTCAAATAGTAGTAAGTGTCCATTCTAAACTCACGACCTTCAAAGAAGACCCAAGGAACGACTATAAATTTGACCATTAGTAACTTTGTTGGCAACACAAACCTTTTCTATGTAAAAAATTTGAAAGCATTGACAATTTTACGTTGTATTGCCAACATAATGTCATTTTGACTTTTATCTTTAAAAAAAAAAACAGACATTACGCGTAAATTTAATTTGCGCAGACTCATGACAATAAATTGTACGGTTTCCTGCTATGTTGGAACAGACCTTTTGATTCGTGAATGCAGCCCGGATAACGTCTACTGCTGACACTGACACTGACAGATGCTAGAAGTGTTACCAAAACCAAAACAAAAAGGTAAGTAATAATGGCAGATGTTGGTGCTGAAGCAGACAAAAAGGTGAAATTAGCAAATACCAAAAAAAGGGTAAGTTCAAATTAGGCATTATGAAAAACCATACCTCAATCTTCCTAATAAGAAATAATACCAACAGAAAAAATTGTCATTATTAACTTAATTTGCAATAAAAACTTTTACTTCCACATCATCACTCCATTCACTCCCCATTATTATCATAAAAATCTATTTATTTCCAGTTTAAACAGCTCCAAGAGCTAAAGAAAAAACGAAATGAAGACCAAGATACTAATAAATCACCTGAAACAATATCTGAAGTACCCGGTACTAGTAGCGAACACTCTAGCTACAGAAACAGCCCTGTAATACCCAATACCCAAAATGAGCCTGTTATAGACCACTGGCAACAAGAACCAACATTGCCCAATTACTTCGAACCTCAAAGTCAAACTCCAGCAGCATTCTTCGACACTTTACCTAGTAAAAATGAAGAACCTATTGAAAATCCCAGGGAAAATCCTTCATTGTTAACTTATTTCAATACCTCCTCACGTAATACTGTTCAAAATGTAGGCAAAAATCTGGGTTTACCCAAGTACTTTGACAATTTCAATACAACTGAATGTATGAATGTGAAAAATGATGAATACAAGTTATTCCCTAGAGAAGCACAAAGGGAATCTTCGAATTCTTTTGAGCCAGAAGATGCCCTTCCAGATGATTATCCTGGTATTAAGGAGAATTCCGAGCTAGAGGATGTGACATGTATGGAATATCCTGATGTTAAACAGATTAAAATGGGCCAACATGCAAGGAGAAGTAGCAGCGGGACTGTTACATTGGACTATTTTCTAGCTGGACAAAATGAGAATTTAACTGATTCACAAGTTTATCCAAATAGTGTATTTTCAGCTCGTGATGATAAAAGATTGATGGAGTACTTAGGTAAGATTTCTATATCTAATATATTTTGGTTTTTGAATCAGAAACTAATTAAATAAACTTAGTTTGTTCATTTGAAACTTACAGGATTTATAAAATAGAGACTCTTTCATAAGATCAAATAAATCAAAAGTGGATCTTGAGCCCAGAAGCAAAGTTAGGAAGTTTCTTTCAAAATGATGCTTGAAAAAACTAAAAAATTCCAAACAATTTGAAACTTACAGGATTTTTAAAATGAAGACTCTTTTATCACATTGCCTGCCTTGTCAGACATACAGGGTGACTATTTATTTATTGATGGGATTACTCCATTAAATGTAATAATCTTATGAAATATAGTATGTATACAAAACCCAATGTGATCAGTGATCAGCCATAATTATCAATACCTATAATAAAACAATTTAATTTCATATGACTAAAGCTGAGGAAACTCAATAATGTAACAATTCCAGCTCCTACACATTACCACCTTATCACATAACTCAATAAACCTGTTTTTAGTACTTAGACTTAGTTCCCAGTAATTTCCAAATTTATCTATTTATTCATTTATTGACGGGATTACCTCCGCCTCAATATAACAATTCAACAAAATATATTATTTTCACAAAACTAAATAAATGTGATTAGCTAAATAAAAGTATACTCATTAATACCTATAAGACAATTCATTATATTTTCCTATCTCTAAAGTAGAAGAAACCCAAAAATGCACTAACTATAGTTACTATCATAACTCCTACACAACTTGATAAACCTGCCTTTAGTTATCCCAGTACCTTCCAAACTATTCTGATTTATCAGTGAGAGACTCCTGCCTACAGAGAAACTGATGTGACATAATAAGGAAAGACGTTATTAAGATGTTGCTAAGACTGTCGTCAGCTGGATGTCCAAAACATGTCTTCAGTATGACGTTCTATTTTAGACAAAAGTTGTATGAGACCAAAGTGGTCCAAAATTGAAAGTCCTTTCGACCACACACTGGTCATTGTGGTAAGGCTCCAAACAGTGAAAATTCAAAAGATACCTAAGTCTACTTATCTACTTAATTTTCCCTAAATTTCTGCTTTCGAATTCTCAAATTTTTCTACTAAATGTTTGTCTATCCCGGCTCTTGAATTGTTTTCTTCCAAACAGAGAAAATTCAAAAGCCTGAAAAAGGATATAATAGCATACTCATTATGTCTACTTTATTAGAAGTGTTCCAGTCCCAGAAGGGAAAAGGTCATGATAGTTAAGGTCATTACAGCCCTTCTAGACTTTTCCTCATTCACCTGCCTTCCTGACTTTCAGGCCTCTAGATTCCCTAGGGATTGACCTTATCCCTAGTTCACGCCATTTGTCAGCAGATTGATCAATCTCATCCTTAATATCTGGAAGTTAATTTAGATAATCGTTCCACATTGAACTATCTGCGAAAGTTTAAGCTCGGAGAATACCTAGGCAAACCAATTAAATCTGAGAAATAGTCGAATGAGGGTTTTCTTTTTACAGATATTTCTGCTTTTTAGATATTTTCCTTAAAATTCTGAATTTTTCCGTCTCAATTTTTGTCTATTCCTGGATCTTGAATTGTTCCTTCTAAATATCTCCACATAAAGAAAATTCAAGAGCCTGGAATAGAAATAACATATAGCTATTCAAGTCTACTTATCTACTTAATTTTCCCTTAATGTCTGCTCTTCAGTTCTCAAACTTTTGTCTATTCCCAGCTCTTCAAGAGCACTTTCTGATAAACTGTCAGGCGAGCTGTCAGGTAACGCAATCTGAGGGATAAAATCGCAATATATAATCCCATTGGTCAACCAATTATCCAGTGACCAACAGGAATATACAACTGTAAATTTATCTTACAAATAGGTACCAACAAGTTTATCTTAAGATGAATAAACCGTAGTACCAGTACATATTATCTGATGCATAATAAGTATCTAGTGGGTACCTATATAAAAAAATGATACTTGTTTTGCACTTAGTAGTTTTGGCAATTGTTGCCACTTAAATAATGATCATTTTCATTAGGTTTTTCATCACATTTTCGAAACAATCCGAAATTGGTGTTTTGTGCATTTTAAGATGGAAGAATTTGTTTATCTCAATATCATACCGAATTGATGATTCATCACTGAAGTAAAAAAAAAGGGACAAGGGTGATGTAAACAAGCTATTGTACCTTTCTTTTCTTATGTATTTTTATATTCGTCATTCGGCAGTAGACTATTGTGGAGGAATTAGCTATTAAAAAAATAATAATTACATAAGCTACGATCCTAACTGCCTCTCAAATCACAATTTTGGCAAGCTACTTCTAGTTGAGCATGTTTGGTGTTGGACTTCAAGCATTTGGCAGTAAATGTTTTCAATAACTTCCTTTTAACAATTGAAGTTGCGTTTCACTGATATCCAGGGCACCAAATCATGGTTTGATTATTTGTTTTTGGTAATTGGTGTCCCCTGGAGAAGCCGTCCACCATAATAGGTTAGGATCTCCTTTGTTACACGATTATACTATTAAAGGTAAGTGTAGCAGTGGGGCACTACTGAATATCGGCGAGAAATGGTTGAATTATGATTTGCTGTTGGGTGTCAGCTGCACAATGTGGTTTCAAGTGAATTCAGCCTAATGAGGCTTTAATAGAATAGCTGAATGCTTTTTATCTTTGCCAGGCAAAATTGTTTTTGTGTTTTCCAGATGAAGAGTCAAGTGATAATGTTCTATATTGTAGCTGTAATGAAATGGTCACGCCTCTAAACAGGAATAAAAAACCTTTCAGAGGAGGTATCACACCAGTTAGATTCTCATTTTAGAAAAATCATTAGGGGGGCAAGCCTCCAAGACACGAGGGGTAGGGGTTAGGCAATAAACACATTTGGTTTCTCTGATGTGTATTTGACACTTTTATAAAAGATAGGTAGTCAAAATTACTAGGTAGTTGGCGAGGGGTGAATAGCTGACCCAAAATGTGTACACCAACTACCAAATTTCACAATCTTTGGGGAAATTTATTAAGATTGTAAGCGATTGTGAGTGATTGTGAATGATTGTATAAGGATTGTGAGCGATTATGACTGATTGTGTCACAATTGTGAGCGATGTGTAGCCATGACATTTTTTTGCGACCTATCCATCTTCTGCCTTCAACCTTTCCCTAGATGATCAGGCGAGAGATTTGATATTTACCATTATATGTCCAAAATAACTTCAAGTTGATGCTTGAGAAAACTAAAAAAAAATTCACATAACCCAAACTTTCTTCCAGGTACCACAGGTGTAACACAAGAAGACCAAAACAACATCAGCCATACAAACCACGAAATCGACGATTCCACCGATTTAACTCAAAAAGAAATCAGACACTCCAACGTGGAAAGTTTGAGGCAATTATCAGACCAACTAGCCCACATGATAGAGCCTGACTACGAGTATTCCTCAGCATCAGGGCCCACAACCGACTTTGAAAAAAGAAATATTGAACTAGCTGATAATTTAGCCAAAGAAAAATTACATTCTGCTCAACTTGAAGCTACCAATACACAATTACAATCACACATAAATCAGCTACAAGATCAACTAACCAAGCAACAGTTTGATTCAAATTCACAAACCTCACAAGAAGTTGCCCATTTGAAAAATGAACTTCAAACGCATTTGCAAACAATTGGACTTTTGGTAGCTGAAAAAACCGAATTGTCTTCAAATTTGAGCCAATATGAAATCAATTGTAATCAAAAAACCAGCGAGTGTGAGGAATTGCAGGCAAGGCTTAAAGCTTCTAGAAGTAGAGTGGCTGACTTAGAAAGGGAGGTGAATAATTTAAAATCTGAAAAAATACAAACACAAAATGCTGGGGAACAATATAATACATCTTTGGTTAATTTGAAACAAGAATACATTAATATGAAGGAGCAAAAAGATGAATTGGCACAAGATTTAATGGAAGTTAGAGAAAAATTAAAAAATACTTTAGAGGAAAATGTTAAAATGCAGCAAGAATATAAGGTAACAATTTTAAATAGATTATTCACTTATAATAGTCAAAATGTTTATTTATTTAGGAAATGGCTGGCAAATTGTCTTTAGCTGAAATAAAAATCCAACAATTACTATCAGGCGATTCTTCCGGCATGGACACTCAAATCGAGCATCTAACCCAAGAAAAATTTTCCTTGGAATCTGACAAGGCCAACCTCAATCAAATGCTCAAATCCATAGTGAAGGAACGCGACGAGTCTACAGTCCAATTTCAACAGTACGCTCAACAATTGAATGCACAAATTTCCCATCTTTCTTCCAAGTTGGAGCAATTGCAACAAGAAAAAGAAAATTTGTTGATGCAGGAGCAGAACAGGATTAAACACATTGGAGAATTAGAGAGGCAGTTGCAGAATTTGCAAAAAGAACAAGTTACTTATGCTAGTAGGAATTCTAGTAATAGTGATGTTAGGAATGAGCTGGAAAGAGCTAGAGAATTGTGTGCTCAATTGAATGTTGATCAAAGAGCTGCTGAAGAGAATTTGACTAAGGTGAGTGGAATTTTTACTCAATGGATTTTGCTATGGTTTTTATTCTAAAATGCATTTCTAAAGAGACTAGAGAATTTTCTATAGAAGCTGAACTAAGGTTGTAACTTTTCTTTCAAATATTCTACAGAATTTGTAATTTTTTTAAAAGTATTTTACAATTTGTCATGAGTTTTATTCTAGAGAATCTACAGGATGCTTAGAGACCATAGTTTTTTTTCAGAAGCTATGAAAGTTGCTGTAAATACTCTAGAACTAAATGCTTCTGATATTTTTCTACACAATGTAATAGTTTTTAAAGTTTCATGGCTATTCTACAGAGTTTACAGAATGTTTAGAGTCTGAAGGAGCTGTAGAGATGTTTCTATTAAAGTCATGCAAAAAGCCTGCAATTTTTTAGTTCACTTGAAGCAAAATTTTCAAACTTCCATCTAGTAAACATATATTGAGTGTGGTTTGTTTCTAAATGAACACCTTTTTGAATATTTCAAGGTTACCAATGAAAAAGATCTGTTGCTGAAAGAGTTAGAAGCAAAAAACGACTCTATTTCCCAACTGGAAAGTATGATTGAGCAACTGAGAGGCAATCAACCTGACAGCGTTAAATTGTTGGCAACAATGGAAAGTGACAAAGTAGCGGCTGCCAGAGCTATCGAGCAAAATAAAGAGCTGAAGCAGCAGTTGGAAAGTATGCAGGAAGTTTTTATGAAAATGGTAAAAATATTTTGTAATTAGGTTTTTTTGAAATTTATTAGCTCTGTTCCAACCAACATGAGAACGGTAATTTTCAGTCTATCAATTCATTTGTCAAGTAAGATAAACGTTCAACCTATTGAAAAATGGGTGGGCAACTAGAAATTACTGTTTCTGGAACGGTTCTCATGTCGACTCATGGAACAGAGCTATTATTATGGTAGCTCAGTGTTGGCAAAAATCTGGGTTTTTGAAAATTTCTATTATGTTTTTGGGTTTTTGCGCTATTGTAGGGTTTTTCTATTTACCTAATATTTGTTTCAACAGTCTTGTACCTGAAAAGCTTCAAAATTGAATTTATTAACACTAAAAATTTTCCAAAAATAACACTGAGACAGTTTTGCCTCACAGCTCCTTTAATGTCCATTCGATTTCAACGCAGTGAGGCTCTAATCAAAGCCAATGAAATTCCCTACAAACTTGTTAATTGAGATTTTAATGTAACTTCAACAAAATTGAATTTACTGAATATTGAAAATTTTCCAAAAATGACACTGAGACAGTTTTTGCCTCACAGCTCCTTCAATTTTCATCCAATTCCAACGCAATAAGGCTCTAATTGAAGCCAATATATAATCCTGTTAATTAGGATTTTAATTTAGTTCCAACAGTTTTGCAACTGAAAATGACCTTGCTATATTTATATTATTTTTTCTTTTTTCTCAGGACAATGATAAAGTAGTTCTCACAGAAAATCTCAAAGGCCAGCACGAAACCAATAAAGACCTAATTGAAAAATTACAAAAAACCGAAATCACTCTTCAATCCTTAGCAGACGCCATTGAGATTAAGGACAAAGAACTGACTCATTTGAGGGAAGCTTTCGAGGAAATGAATAGACAATCGCTTCACCATGAGCAACTTGAAGACAGATTGAGGCATTACGAAGCACATGATAATTCCGCGCACGTTTTACAGAACGACTTACAGGAAGCTAAACAGGTTATTGTGAAACTAACCAACCAATTGAACAAGAAAAAAGATGAAGAAAACAACACTCCTTTGGAAATTCAATTAAACGATGCCAACCAAACTATTCTAGAACTTACTAATGAAGTTAATAAATTAAAAATACCAGACACAACTGAACAAGACTGTGAGGAAACTAAAGATGACATTGATGAAAACACCATAGACAAAGAAAACGCCATGAAATACTTAGAAGAAAAAGTAAAAAAGACCATGCAAGAAATTGCCGATTTAACTGACGAAAAACAACGCCTAGAACACATAGTTCTTCAGCTACAAGGTGAAACCGAAACAATAGGCGAGTACGTGGCCTTGTACCAACACCAAAGGATGATTTTGAAGCAAAAAGCCCAGGAAAAGGACCAGCAACTAAAACAACTGGCAGGCGACAGAGAACAAATAAAACTAAAAATTGACAGACTGAATGAATTAATTAAAAAGTTGGTACTGGAAAAAGGTTCCATACCGGCAGAACTAATGCAGCATCACGAACTTATGAGTAATATTTGTGAGGAGCATTCCAAATTAAACGCACAAAGTAATATTATAGAGCCTGAAAATGAGCAGGAAAATGTTGAAACAAGTCAAACTGCTGAAGAAATTATATCTTTGCTGACTGAAATTAAAACTAGTAATTTAGTGCAGCCTAGTGATAATATACATCCTTGTCCTTGGTGTTCTGGTCAATTAATGACTGTATGAGTTTTGTAGGCAATAATTTTATTATGTTGACCAGTAATGGCGAAAGGAAGTAAGAGAGTGGCTTTGTTGTATGTATAAGTTGTTAATTCTTTATCTGAAGTATTTTTAGATTTTTGTGCAATAACTAGGTGATGGAGTGTTTCTGATTAGTTAAAGGGGGTGTGCGCCAAAAATTAAAGTTTTAGTGTAAAAAAATCTAAGAATAACTGTTCAAACCTCGTTATTTTACGATAAACCATCGCTGAGATATACCGCTTTAAAGTGTGTGTGACGTCACGAGAGCGTCGTCCAGCCGCGCTCCGCATTGTTAATTTGATTGTTCCCGGCACGCGTGAGTGGTTTTTGTTTAGATTATTGCAGGTAACACAGGAGAAATATATGTAAATTTAATTAACTCCACTTTCTCGTGCGTAGCTTGAGCTTTCGTGACGTCATAGGGTGAGATGCGGTACCTTCATAGAGCCATATCTGCGGTATTATTTGTCATAGAGGGGTGCGGATTTCACTGTTATTCTTAGATTTTTTTTCTCTTTTTTTTTGAGATTAAGTAGTTTTTTTGGTGCACACCCCCTTTAAGATAATCTGGAATTAACACTCGTTGCCTGTCCTCTTTCACTTCTTTATTATGTTTTTGCAGTATAAACATTTTTTTTTTTTTTTTTTTCAAAATTCATTTTCATAAGATTTAGGTTTAAGATTGGCCATTAATTAATTCTTACACAGAAGTTTTTATTTCATTATCAATATTTTATCTGAAATAAAGTTAACTATACCCTCCATTCTATATTGTTTTTATGTGTATAATTAAGCAAAAATCATCTCATCTCTCCTCCTCTTGGGCTGATTACCGGGTTTATTTTGACATTCCGGATGATTCATGAGTTCTGGCGGACAATTTGACACAGGCGAAGATAGCAACATTTGCTTCAAATCGTAGAACAATGGCGAATCGTCGTTGGTACAAAAACTGACAGCAATACCAGTCTTGCCAGCACGTCCGGTACGACCAATACGATGAGTGTAATCTTTAAAAAAAAATATATATATATATCATAAAAAATCATTGGTTTTCTTGAATTATTCTTACCTTCAATTGTCTTTGCCATATCATAATTAATAACCATAGAAACATCCTTGATATCAATACCTCTTCCAGCAACATCTGTAGCCACAAGAATATCTTTGGCTCCAGATTTCAAGCTGGCTAAAGCATATTCTCTTTGCTCTTGACCTTTACCACCGTGAAGTGTACAAGCGTTGAATCCCAATTTTTCCAAACCTTTAGCCAAAACGTCGGCCCCCTTCTTTTGGTTAACAAAAATAATAATAGGCTTTTCAATGCCCTTGGAAAGAATCTCCATAAGTTTGCGTCTTTTGTCATTCTCGCCTACAAGATGGACAATTTGTTCTACACGTTCTACAGGTTTACCAATGGAGCCAATGTAAACTACAGCAGGTCTTCTGAGGTACGTTCTGGCTAATCTTTCTACAGCTGGAGGCATAGTTGCAGTGAACATCACAGTTTGTCTATATTTCTTTTTACTGTTGTAGTTGGCCAGGAGAATTCTGCTATCTTCGGCATCATCATTGTCTGGTTTCAGATTTGTTACTGGCATGTATTCTAGGATTTTCTGGACATCAGGTTCAAAACCTGAAAAAATTAAAATTGAATTATGTAGAAACTTGTTTATGGTTTTCTTAAAAATTGATGCAACAAATCTTGTGCAAGTGTAACTAGAGATAAAATTTCAAGTTTTATATATTCTTACCTAAATCTATCATACGATCAGCTTCATCCAAAACAATGTAAGTACACTGATTCAAGACCAAATAGCGATTTTCCAGCACATCAATCAAACGACCAGGAGTTGCAATAACAATTTCACAACCCATCCTTAGCCTAAAACCTTGCTCTTCTCTGCTCAAACCTAAAAAAAAATCATTATACAACCTACAAACTCAATCAAATTTTAATCACCTCCAACAACAACCACAGTCCTAATTCCCAAAGGCTGTCCAAATTTGACAGTTTCTTCTTCAATCTGCTGAGCCAATTCACGTGTGGGTGCCAAAATAATAGCATAAGGTCCTTGATCAGCGTCTTCAGTCCTTTCAATTTTTGGCAAAGATTGAATCCAGGATAATAAAGGTATGAGGAAAGCCAGGGTTTTACCTGAACCAGTTTCAGCCACACCAATAATATCCCTATTTTGCATGCCAATAGGAATGGCTTGTCTTTGAATGGGAGTAGGATCTTTGTAGCCTATAGTTTCAACAATTTCTAATAGGTCTTTGTGTATTCCAGACTCTTTCCAGCCTCTGATTGGTTCAGGAATTTTGCCCCCTTTAATAGTAATATTGTAGTCTTCTCTAAATATACGCCAATCTCTTTCAGTCATTTCATCTTTTTCTTTTTCAGACCAATGCCTGTCATCCCACAGTTGTTTTTCTTCTTTGCGTTTTACTTTTTTGAGTCTGACTTTTTCTTGGGCTTTTTCCGCTTCGGTTCTCCGTTTTTCCAAAAGTTCCCCATAAAATTTGCTCTGATCGCGTTTTTGTGCTTTGATGTCGATGCCGGCCAAATTGCCTCGGCCAAAAAATTGCACTTGATGTCTTTCTTTGTATATAGGGTTGTAGTCTAGTGAAGTGTCCTCTCCAGCGTCCCAATCAAATACGAATTTTCTGTCGTTTAGCCTCCTGACTCTGCGTTTTTTCTTAATTAAGCCCAGGTATCTTTCTTTTATGGCGTCTTGTTCTTTTTCCTTGTCCTTGTCTTTTTGTTTCTCTTCTTCGCGTTCACGATCTCTGGGACGCCTGTCTCTGTCCCTATCATCTTTTCTGTCTTCTTGTCTAGACACTTGCATTGCTTGGATAATTTTTCTTTCTTCGTCTTGCTGTTTTCTCAGCTTCTCTATTTCTTCTTGGCGTCTTTTCAGGGCTTCAGTGGCGCGTTGTTCTTTTGTTAAAAAAACAGGCTGAAATTAAGTAAAAAAAGGTAAATCTACAGTGTTAGTTGGAAATAATATAGTTACTTTGCTTTTAGCAGCTTCTTCAGCTTTTTTCTTTTCCAGCAACTCCTCCAAGGATAATGGTTCTTTTTTTTGGGGTTCTGCTTTGACTTCAGGTTTGATGGCTGGTTTGGTGTCTTCCACTGGAAGTGCAGGCTTTGTTTCCTTTGCAAATTTCGTGTCTTTGTCATCTTTACGCTCATCCTATAGGAAATTGAACTTTTAAAAACTTTGAAACTTTTTTTGTATCAAGTATAGATAGAAAGCTGAAATTTTCAGCGATTTTTATCCCAGTGGAAGACTGAAATCTCTGAAAATTTCAGCTCATTCGGACTTATAGTTCCAGAAATAAAATCGTGTCGAGCAATTTGACGTGTTTTATCAATTTTTCTGAGGGCCTTTTTTCATAGAATCCGGCTCCAAACAGAATAATTTAGTATATGGAGTTTGGGTGGTCCCCAATGATCAGTTAGACACAAAGTTCTTATATAAAACAAAATTTGAAATTTCATCATTTTACTTAGTGCCTACCTTATGATTTGGATTTTTACAAACTTTAAAAAATCATAACTTTTTTTCTATTAGAGACCGAAAGCTGAAATTTTTAGCGATTCTTTTCCCAGTAGAGGACTACAATCCTTGGAAATTTCAGCTCATTTGGACTTATAGTTTCAGAAATAAAATCGCGTTAAGCAATTTGGGGTATGTAAATTTATCAATTTTTCAATTTTCTGAGTGCCTTTTCCCATAGAATCTGGCTACAGATCTCAGAATAATTTTAGTGTATGGAATTTTGGGGGTCCGGAGTGACCATTTAGACACAAAATCCCAACAAAAAAAAAATTTAACAATTCATCATTTCAGTACTAAAGTAGCTCCCGTATGATTTGGATTTCTGAAAACTTTGAGAAATCGTAACTTTTGAAATTTTCAACAATTCTTATCCTATTAGAGGACTACAATCCCTGAAAATTTCAGCTCATTTGTATTGATAGTTACAAAATCGCGTTAAGCAATTTCAGCTGAATTTATCTATTTTTCAATTTTCTGAGTGCCTATTTCCATACAGGGTGGGGACTTTAACTGGAACTAATTCGCTAGAGCCTTCGGATAAAATATGTGGACAAAACGCAAAAACACGCCGATTAAGATTTTTGGCCTAAAATTTTTTCACATAATTTTTTTTATACAGGGTGTTCCAAGAACAGCTGCACGGTTATTAACTTTATTTTTTAAAATAGTTAACCCCTGTATATTATAAAATTTTTGGATTCTGCAGAAAATTCTAGACATATTTCATGTACAATGTCCGGTTAATTTTACAGCAATTTTACAAAAACAAAATACATTTTCATCTTAGCTTTTCGTAAACTATCATTTGACACTAACTTTGAATTTAATCCATGATTAAAAATTCCGTCAGCCGGTCAAAGTTGCGAAAAAGTCAATTTTCAACTGTGAATATTTCCAAAACAGTTGAAGATAGGTATATGACATTATCCATGAAATATGTCTAGAATTTTCCGCAGAATCCAGAAATGTCATAATATACATGGGCTACCATTTGAAAAAATGAAGTTGATAACCGTACAACTGTTCTTGGAACACCCTGTATAACAAAATTAATGTGAAAAAATCTTAAGCAAAACATTTTAATCGACGTGTTTTTGCGTTTTGTCCACATATTTTATCTGAAGGCTCTAGCGAATTAGTTCCAGTTAAAGCCCCCACCCTGTATATTTCGGCTTCAAATCTCAGAATAATTTGGTGTATGAAGTTGTGGGGGGGGAGCTTCCCAATGATCATGTAGACAGAAAATCTCAACAAAAAAAAATTGAAATTTCATTTTAATAGGTACAGTTTAGTACAAAGTACCTTATGATTTGGATTTTTAGAAACTTTGAAGACCCACAACTTTTTTTCTATTAAAGATAGAAAGCTGAAATTTTCAGCAATTTTTATCCTAGCAGAGGACTACAATCCCTTAAAATTTCAGTGGTGGGACTCTGTGCCATGCAGAATTCGACATATCGAAACATATCCGAATGCTGCACAGGCCTATAGAATCCTGTCGATAAGTAGATTTCTACATGACACAAAGTCTGTGAGCAGATCATTTGGACATAAGTATAGTTCCAGATATAAAATCGCGTTAAGCAATTTGAGGTAAATTTATCAATTTTTCAATTTTCCGAGTGCCTATTTCTATACTATCTTTTCATGTTGATATATGTGTTAAGCTATTTGACAGTCTTGTGTTGCCACGATTGGAATATGGGAGCATAATTTGGTCACCCCAATATGAGGTATGGTGCAAATCTATTGAACGAGTCCAGAGAAAGTTCCTAAAGTATGTTTTTTTGAAAAGGTTTGGCTTCTACCCTCCTCAGGGATTTAACCATAATAGACTTTTGAATTTGTTTAATAGACTCTCCCTGGAGAATAGGCGAATAAAAATGTGCCTAATTTACATTTATAAATAATAGTATAAATAGCCCTCATATTTTATCTCAACTCCCTTTTTCAATAAATCGTATCTACACCCGACAGAGAAATATGTTTTATTTGGACTTCCCTAGGAAAAATTTGTATAAAAATTCTCCAGTTTACCGTATGTGCAATTGTTTTAATATTTACGCTAGCGACATAGATATAAACACTATTACTTTAAGACAATTTACTAAAATTATAAGTGAGAAACTTTTTATTTCCCAGGCTCAGGAGTAGACAAGTTTGTTTTATTTTTATTGTTAAATTATATAGTATAATCTTGTTTTTTGAAAAAGTTTTTGCTTGTTAGAGCTCCGAGGAAGCCTCATATATTTAATGTGAAGTGTTCATGATTGTAACAATGTAAATTTTAAATTTCAAATAATTATTGTTTACTAGTTTTAAGCTCGGTATCTGTAATTGGCATGTGCTGTTCATACTGTATTAATAAATAAATAAATAAATAATTAAATATACATTTCGGCTTCAAATTTCAGAATAATTTAGTGTATGGAGTTGGGGGGGGGGGGGTCCCATGATGATTAGATACAAAATCTCATTAAAAAAAATTGAAATGTATTCATTTTAGTCTTGATTTTAGTATTTACTAAGGGAGGTGTCTTTTGATTTGTTTTTGAAGAGAACAACACCAATGAAAATTCAAGAGCCTGGAATAAACCAAAAATTAGAAATAACTGAAATACCTACCTATGGAAAAAAAAATAAAGTGAAAAATTACTTTTCCCTCGACTTTTCCCTAAGTTAGACAAATGTCTTTTGCACAGGATTTTTACCTCGAATAATAAAATTCGAATGAAGATCAGATACTTACCTACATTTAGTATGTCTCTGATGCTACATATGAGGTATTATTATTATTATGTATATCTTTGTTAGTTCCTACATTTGTTAAGATAGGTAATATGTTATCACATGTTCTTGTACTACAAGTGTGAATAATTACTATTTTTAAATAAAGTGTTTATATTGGTTCTATGTTACTTATTAAGTCTCCTACACTTTATTTTTTCCCAAGATAGATTTTGACATTGAAAACTTTGAAACATAAACAATAATGCTTGACCCTGACTGGTCGCAAAATGAGGTGTTTCTGCAGGTTGACATCAGTTTTACAATAGCGACCAATAAGCGGCATTAGAGGCATTGTTTATGTTTCAAAGTTGACAATGCCAAAATCTATCTAGGGAAAAAAAAAAACTATATATAAGTACACCAGTTTACATTCATTGCTCAACCTTTAGTATTGTCTGCATGTCAGGCACCCCAAGCTCCATCTAAAGCAATTCTGTATAAGTGCGTCTATTGCTTGGTCTATTGTATTTAAGAATTTCTATTTTGCTTTATATATATTTTTATATTATTGAACTTGACCACTCCACAGGTACCCCATCCATACAGGAAGAAGCCTGGGACGAAGGTACCTGAGATGCGACCAAAGTTTCCAAGAAACTGTGGGTTCTATACTCAGTTGTATATGATAAAATACCACAAAACATAATATTATCCAATTACCCTTTTCTCCCGCTCTGTCTTGTACTTCTCCTTATCATGTTTCTCGTCTCTCCTCTCGAATTTATCGTCTCTCCTAGAATCGTATCTCTCCTTGGACCTGGACCTGTGCCTTTTGTGACCTCGATCCGCTCTATCTTTGCTCTTCGAACGCGACCTTTTGCTCCGCTTGTCCCTGTCCTTATCCGTTCGTTCTCTACTCCGGGAACGTTTCTTTTTGTCGATTCCCATACTAAATGTACTAGTTTACCTTTATTTAAGTTTATAGAATCAAAAATATTTTAATGTTTACGTTTTTAAAACGTAGTTTCTTAACCTTAACCACACTTTTTCAGTTAATATTTTTATGCTGCGTTCGATAACTTTAGCCGTTTTCTGGCGTCCCCTTTTTTGACAGGTTCAAAACAGGTTAAACAAGCAATGGTGTTTCCATGTTTTCATTGTGACTGTTTCAGAAGTGGACGTGAAAAAAACGGCTTTTAAGTGGCTGGCAGACTGATAGACAACTCCAAATTGAAAATGATTCAAATACAAATTACCGCGTTTTCGAACGCGTCCCGAAACGTCACTGCGCAAATCGAAAGCCGGCAACGTTGCTTTTTAATGGCAACGGCAACCATTTTTGTGTTTTCCTTTTAATCGACCACCACAGATAAAAAAAAGCTCTTGTTAAAATTGGATCGCATTTTGTGTCTCCGACAAAATCAAAATATTGGAAAAATGCTACTGAAAAGTGCAATAATTAGTTGCTGTGTGCTGTGGGCTTGCACCAATGGTAAGAAAATGTCTATTTTTATCCTAGTTACATTACATTGCTATTTTGATACCCAGAGGCGTTTTTTTTTTTGCTTCTAGCTAGAAAAATTGCTGTTTCATTCTCTTCGTTTTATTTGTTCTAGTATTTCTTGCTTCTTTGACCGTGAATAAAGAATTAACCGTTAAATCAATCGTTTTTATTTGAAGTGTATAGTCGAGAATATTCATTAGGCCTGAAAAAATTCCTCGAATTACAAAACACCACAAATATGATATGGAGGATTAAAATACTTGGCTGTCTGTATCATTTGAATAAACAATGTTAACAATGTATCATGTTATTAGATTAGAAAATGGGAATATATTATGTGGGAAGTTTGTATGTCGATAAGAAACTGCATACTTTTGCGCAAATATTTTGTTGAAAAACAAGGTTTTTTGTCAGCTAATTTTTATCGTTTGGTTTTCTTCCAAACTCGATATTTTAGTTTAATCTCTGGGGGATGCTAAAGGGTGCTTAAATATCCATGCAGATTTCAATTGCAACACAAAAAAATTGTAATCCATGTAGACTATTTTGTGAAATTCTTTGACACTATCCGAATCAGGGTTGAAAAAAAAAACCCATCCCTATTTATATATTTTTTGTTTCTCTTTACAAACAATAAATCATTGTTAATCATGTAAAAGTAATATACTAACCTCGATACTAACTAATATAATCTACATCATAAACAGTGTTTAATTAAAAACAGACACAGAACAATGGGCTCCTTTGCCAATGTACAATGTATTAGGTATGTAATTATTAGGTATTTGGATTTTTTGATGTTTTTTTTTTTTTTTTGATTTTTAAGTTTTTTTAAGGTTTTTAAAAGTTTGGAAAAAATCAAAGAATAATAGCTATTTATGGAACAAGTGTTTGAAATGAACCTTTTTGACGAATGTGAATTTTAACCATATACTATTGACATAGGAAGCCATAAATTTGAAAAAAATAACAACTTTTTACGCGCTAGTGTCTAACAGTCTAAAGCGAGGGTTCAACCAATATGCTTACAAATGTACAGTGTGGTCATTTGATCTTGATAACATTTCAACCTGTCATAATTTCTTTATTTTTGAAGTTATTTGAATAAATAAAAAAAACATACTGTAGGGTTGGTTCCCAAGTTTCAGATAGGGTGGACAAAAAACAAAAGACTAATATATTCTGACAGATATGGACACAATAGTTATTTTCCTAACAAGTGCGCAAAGTGTTACTTTTCCGCAAGCGTGCGGAAAAGACACTTTGCGCACGTGTTAGGAACAAAATTTTTCCTACGAGCTTCATATCAGGTAAGTAGGTAATAACAAAAATTTAAAAAAAAAAAACGATAATTTGTTTAATTATTTTTAATTAACTTGAAAGGAACCTATGCATTTATCAAAAAATTAATAACAAAAAAAAATAACAGAAAATCCTCGTCAGAGCTGTTCATCTTAAAGCGTTTAAATTTGATGAGAAAGTTTGTAGATTTTTGCATATAAATAGAGAACAAATCTGACAATGTGTCAAAGTTAATTCATTCATATTTAGTGTTTGTATAGATGTTGGCTGATATAGAAACAGAGGAAAAAATTGTCATCATGTGTCAAAGTCGACAGGTGCACTTATTGTTGCTTGACAATTATAATTACCTTTCGGCACTCAGTGCGGATAAGGCCTGTATCCGCACTGAGTGCGGAAAAGTGTAACTTTGAGCCCGGAAATGCGTGCGGAAAAGTACTACTTTGCGCACGCTCGTAGGAAAATAACATTTTTTTCAATGGAATATCCAGTAAATTGTTGAATTGTTTAATAATATGTTCCATTCTGATTGCAATATATACAATACAATATACTTGAATACAATTTACTCTATATTTACATGTAGAAGTGTTTTATTTATTCTAATGGAAAATTCTGCCTACCTACCTACCTTTGCAGGTAATCTGTGTAGGTAATCAATATTTTCAGTTAGAATAAATGAAACATTTCTGCATCTAAATATAAAGTAAATTGTATTCAATTGTATTGTATTATATATACCTATTGCAATCAGAATGAAACATATTATCAAACAAACTAAAAAATTACTGGGTGTTCTATTTAAAAAAAAGCTATGTGTTCGCATAACTGTCAAAATATATTAGTCTTTCGTTTTTTGTCCACCCTATCTGAAACTTGGAAACCAACCTTACAGTATGTATTTTTATTTATTTAAATAACTTTAAAAATAAAAAAAATATGACAGTTTAAAATGTTATCAAGATAAAATGACCACACTGTACATACGATGATTTCCATATTTGATGGATAGATTATACCTCGGATTATACTCAATAGTCAATGCTCAATTTATTCATGCATATTCATACATAAGTCACATAATGTTGAGATTACATATATGGTTGCAAATAAAATTATTATCCGTTCACAATCCGATGTCCACAGGTAGGTACAGGTAAAATCACCTTTCAGTGCTATTTGATAGGGAAAGGTGATAAATTTACCTGCACCTGTGGACATCGGATTGTGAACAGGATATATACAATTTATACACAGTCTGTAGTTGTAAATTGAAACTCAAAAACTTTAAATAGTATATTATGCAATGATCATGTTATATACGAAACTCGCCTGCGGCTCGTTTTGTATCCTACGATATGCTCGTGTATTAATGGCTATCACATGAGAGTTGCATACACTATTTTTTCTGTTATTTTTATATAAACATTATTCATCAATCTGTATCATAATGAAGTTCATTATGAAAGAGATTTTAGGCGTATTATGAAACGTCAGTAGAAAAAAAATATTGCAAAGATTCGACATTCACAAGCTTACTTTATACCAGTTTCCATTTGTCCACCCAGTGCAAAAAAAATGTATCCTTATCCTTACATGTTACATGCTTTTAGAAAAAGATGTGGATACACTCAGTGCGCACTGGTTGACAAATGGAAATCGCCATTAGAAACAGTACATTCAAATAGTAGATTATACCACGAGTCAATAATGATTATTCCGAGGGAATAATAGACATTATTGCGAGTAGTATACTCTACTTTATTCATGACAAATTAATTTATTTGAAATTTTCTTTCCAAAAACGCTCTTTGTTCATCCATCTCAATACAAATACACAAGCACTACGCGTTTGACACTGACATTTTTGAGTTTGTTCAGGTATATTGTTTCCATGGTACTACTTAATTAATTTGAGAAATTTTGTGATTGGTGTGCAAGCGGGAATAATGACCATTAATCCCTGCGGGAATAATATATGGCATTATACTGCTAAAATCACATATGCAATACTTATACTATCAGTCGTAAATAAATACAATTAAAATACAAGACAGTAGAAAGAATACAAATCACAGCAAAGTTTGTTGGCAAAAGGACACGTCTAAAACAGCCTGGACCGTCCTGACACATTTTCAACCTATAACCCTTTTTACCTGGCTCCGGTTTAACAAACCGCAACATACTGCTCAAATTCGAGTGGTAGGTATCCATCACGTCACTTTGTAACCGGGAGAAAACGGTATGTCATTTCTCGAACCGTTTTGTAACCCGGTTAGTTAAACCGGAGCCACGTGAAACGAACTTATGATAAGCTGGGATGGGGGTACGGAAAAAAGGGCGAATTACAAAATGTCGAATTGTCACAAAAGATCGAATAGCAAAATGTCGAAAATACAAAAGGTTGAAAAAACAAAATGTCGAATAAATAAAGGTCGAAAATATATAAGGTCGAATAAAAAAAGGTCGAAAATAAAAAAGGTCGAATAACAAAAGATCGAATAACAAAAGATCGAATACCAGAAGGTCGAAGATACACTAGGTCGAATTACAAAAGATCGAAAATATAAAAGATCGGAATACAAAAGGGTCGAATTACAAAAGGTAGAAATTCGTAAGGTTGAAAATACCGAATGTCGAAAATACAAAAGATTGAAAATACAAAAGGTCGAAATACAAAGAGGTCGAATTACAAAAGGTAGAAATTGAGAAAGGTCGAGAATACAAAAGGTCAAAAATAATATAAAGTCAAAAATACAAAAAGTTTTTTTTTTTTCTTTCTGTTCTATTCATTTATTTTTCTGTTAAACAATAGAAAACGGGTGTGGTAGGATGACAGATGTCATCGGCTATTGAAAGCAATTTAAAAAACGACAAAACGTATATCCGGTTATTTCTTGAAAATTTGACATGTATCAATAAAATACGTTTGTGGCTGTCACTCCGTCAGTTTTTGACGTATGTCGATAGGAATTTTTATTTAGGGTTTTTGGGGTCCGCAGAAGGTTTTCCGCCACTTTTTTTTTCGAAATTCGCAAAATGAAAAAACTTTTATGACGTTCACAGCTGTCAAATTTTTTTGACACAAACCGATAATTGGCGTCCGAAAACCGCCTTGTACCGGGGTTTGGTTGTCGTAGCTTTTATAGTAGAGCGGGGAGAAAGTCGGACATGTGTCAAATTTGACAGGTGACATCTGTCGATATCGCCAAAATGTTTTTCGACAAAAGTTCTATCCGAACGCATCCTTCGTATTTGACGTATGTCAAAGATGACGTTTCGCCTTGTTACGCCGTTAGTTTTTGACAATTAACATTGACAATTTTTCTTAAGGGGTTTTTGGGACCGGGGAATCTTTTCCGACACTCGCATTTTTATTTTTCCGATAAATGCAAAAATAACTTTCTTGACGTTGACAGCTGTCAAATTTTTTTGACACCGACAGGTCGCCCACGTTGAACAAACATGACCCACCGAGTTTGAGGTTTTCAGCTTGTAAGGTAAAGCGTGGGAAAGGCCGTTTACCCAATATAAACAAATTCCGGTCGCATGACAGCTGTTATCAAAATTTCACCTGGAAATTCCGAAACGCTTTAAAGAAATCTGGTGGGAGACGGAGCCCTTTTTTTGAAATTCCTTCTGCTTGTCAAAAATTTGACATTGACAGATGGCCAAGTTGGCTGTGGAATTTTTTTAGTGATTTTTCCGAACTCGCCGAGATGTTTTCTATCCGCCTATATAAGTTTTGTCCGCCGGGTTAATTTGGGTTAGATTGGGTTATTTTGTATTCATTTTCTGTTTCAGGGATTTGATGAAGTTCAGGAACAGAGATTGGGACACATTCCGAGGACGGGTTAATTTGGGTTAGATTGGGTTATTTTGTATTCATTTTCTGTTTCAGGGATTTGATGAAGTTCTTGAACAGCGATTGGGTCGTATTCCGAGGACGGGTCAGTTTGGGTTAGATTGGGTTATTTTGATTCATTTTCTGTTTGAGCAAATGACGTTTCACTATAGAAAATTACGGGATCGGGCAGTAAATAGGAGTGCATGGGTCAGAAACGGGGATTGGGTTAATTACAAAAGTGTACAGAGTTTTGGTTAGTTTGGTTTAGCTTTGGTGAGTTAGCGTTAGTCAAGGCGTTAGTATGTGGAAAAGAAAGTAGAAAGAAAAAAAAATTGTATTTTCGACTTTTTATAATCTTGACAATTTGTATTTTCGACCATTTTCATCTTCTACCTTTTAAAATTAGTACTTTTGTATTTCGATCTTTTGTATTTTCGACATTTTGTATTTCGACTTTTTGTATTTTCGACATTTTCAATTGTCTACATTTTGTATTTTCGACATTTTGTATTTTCGATCTTTTGTGTTTTCGACCTTCTGTTATTCGACCTTTTGTATTTTCGACGTTCTGTATTTTCGACGTTTTGTTGTTCAACCTTTTGTTATTCGACCTTTTGTTATTCGACTTTTCGTTACTCTACCTTTTGTTATTCGACCTTTTGTTATTCGACCTTTCCTCATTCGATCTTTTGTATTTTCGACCTTTTGTTTTCGACTTTTTGTATTTCGACCTTTTTTCCGGGATTCGCTGGGATGATCAAATTTTTCTGTCTTGTGTCATAGCTGTGGATTCCACCATGCACCTTGAATTTATTCTCATTGTCCTTCACATACAACAGATTTTCAAGTATGTAGTGAGATGGTAAAGTAAGTATATTTAAACTCTCAAAGGCCTGTCTACACTCCTCCCTGAAGCCCAACCCAGCCAAGATTCGGATAGCTTTTCTCTGAAGTCTAAAAAGTCTGGCCACAAGGGGGGAGATACCCCAAATCAAAATACCATATGTCATAACAGAAGTGAGATATAGCATGGTACAAAGTTTTCAGAACATTATCTGAGACACTCTGGGAGAGATTACGAAGGACAAAGAGAACCCTGCTAAACTTTGATGAAACTTGATTAATTTGTGCATACCATTTTAAAGTGGGGTCTATGAGCACTCCAAAAAATCGAACTATCTTCCCTTTTTCATTAATACCTTTAGAGTCTCTGAGGGAGAAAATCAATATCTCTGTTTTGTCTTCATTCAGGAGCAGCTTATTAGCATTCAACCAGTCCCTTACTCTATCCTGAGTGGCTTTAAGCTGTGAGACTGCTGCCTGATCAACCCATCCCGCTGACATGGAGACTGTGATGTCATCCGCAAAAAGGGTGTATTTTTCTTGATCACTGTTAAAGGGGAGATCATTTACATAGATTAAAAATAGGATCAGCCCCAGGACAGACCCTTGGGTCACACCTATATTTACAACCCTTTCCGCAGAACACACCCCACCCACCCTGACAGTTTCGGATCTGTTTTCCAGATAAGAATTTATGAGTTTAATACTGTCTGTACCAAAATTATAGTGTACTAGCTTGCTCAGCAAGATTTCATGGGAAACATAGTCAAATGCCTTACTTAGGTCACAGAAAAGCACAGCACTAAATTGGAGATTGTCAAAAGAATCCAGAATATCAGCAACGAGATTCAATATACCCAATGTAGTACAGGGTGTTTTTTTATATATTGATACCCCACCTACAGCCTTTACCTTGACATGTAGAAGAAAGGTGTAAATACAAAAGTTGTACAGTTTTCGCTAAATTTTTAGTATCCATGGTCAGAAACAAAAGTTGAATGTCAGAAATGTGAAATCATCCATGCTTTCAGCTTTTTTCAAATGGGATGCCCTATATTTGGTTCTATATTCTTGAAGAGCACAATGTCCCGATTCCAAAAATATATAGTTTATCTATATTTGGTTGAGCAGTCTCTTATATATTTGGCTTTAAAAATTGTAACAATACTATCCTACTTATTGATTTTGTGAACTAATTATTCTACCTGTAGAGGTAAAAGCTGCAGGTAAAATTTGAGGTACTTGGTTTCTCTGATAGTATTTTTGAATTTTTCAAAACCAAATATGTTGGAGACCGCTCAAACAAATATAGACAAACTATATAATTTTATTCCAGTTGTTTGACTTGGGTTTTGACTGTTCCTTGATTCTTTTATAAAAAGAAATTTGGATGAAAACAAAAATTCAGGAGCCTAGAATAGTTGAAAATTGAAACTTAAATACCTTCTAAATTTTTTTTTTTTTTTTTTAGGTGAGAATGTTATCCAAGGCGAAAAAATATTCCCAGAACCATCGGGAGTTACCAATGGCCCAATAATACCAACTACCACAATAATTCCGCCAACCAATTCAACTACTCTGAAACCAAATACTACCACATTGGCTCCAACTACTACCACAACTCTTGCTCCAAAACCTAATACTACCACTGCAGCTACTACAACCACTACTTCAACCACTGCAAAGCCTACCTCTCCTACACCTAAACCTGATAATAAACCTGTAATTAATGACTTTATTGGTAATTATTCTGGCACCAAGAATATTTGTTTGATGGTCAAAATGGCTGTGGTGGTTGAGGTGTTGGTAAAGGACAAAAATTCTACAATGGTAAGAAAAAGATTCTTGCTGTACTCAGTCAGTAAACAGAATTTATTTTTTTCGAAATATCATTATATATTTACAAAAACAATTATTTATCTATTTGCCTTTGTTTTGACCCAAAATAATATGTTCTATAAATTGATAACTATATTAGTCATCTTGAACCACAAAGCAACATGATAGGAGAAGGTTAAGGTTTTTTTATTTATTGCAATTTTCTTTTATTGAAGGAATTCTTGTTTTGATATATGCAAAAAATGTTTCCTTCAATCTACCCTTGGATTAGAGAAAACAATTTATATAAACAATAATCTGTTTATAGATGTAGGTTAATGTTTATTTAATTTTACTTGTTGAAATGTTTTATAAATAATCTTGAATATTTTTTTTTTTTATAGATAAATGTTCCAAAAGCACCAAAATTCAATGCTGTCTGTCCTCAAAATACAGAAGAATCCTTAACCATCAATTGGGAAAATAACTCTATAATTTTTGGATTTTCCAAGAACAACAGCAAATTCGAAATTCGATCCATTAACGTTTCCTTATCTGGTAGGTAGATAATCAACAAAGTTTGTGTATTCTGCCAAACCACACATGCTCAATTTTTTATTTAAATAAACTTTCTGATAACAGTTGATAAATTCGTGGGAAACACGCCTTAAATCAATATATGTTTTATTTCAGGAACAAACAAGACTTTTTACCATTTGAAGCCCGAATTCTCAGTTTCGGAAAAATTGTCTTACTATTGCGCAAAAGATCAAGCCCTCAATTTGACTGATGGCACCACGAGCAATGTGACATTGGCTAGATTGCATCTTAGTCATATGCAGTATCAGGCTTTTGTCAACCAAACCGAGGCTCATTATGCTACTGGTAAGGATTTTGTACAAATATACCTAACTTATATTATTAATATAAAACAACAAGTGGTTGTGAGATTTTTAAACTGAATCAAGTTCTTCAATTCGAATTCTTTCTTTTCAGTTTGGGATTGTGATGGTATCAACACCCCTGACATAGTACCGATTGTAGTGGGTTGCGTTCTTGCCGTCCTTGTCGTTCTCGTTTTGGTGGCCTACCTGTTTGGCAGGCGAAGTTGCCAAGCCCGAGGCTACCTTTCAATGTGAGTGGAAAACCAGGAAAGAAAAGGTACACTCCTACGCACCTCAACGGAGACACTCTAAACAACTTCATTGTGTTTGTTTGATTCAACTTTTGCTTGGAGTGTCTTTGCTTTTTTGATACTGATAGGGAGAGTAATTTTTATTATTTATTTTTCTGTTGTGTTATTCAAAATTTTGTAGTTTTTTGTTTGTTTTGGGGTCCTAGTTGAATTTTTTTTTGTGCTCATTTTAATCCATGACACTTGATAATAATTGGGGGTTAATATTTTTATTTTTTTTTTGATTTAATAAATCTAGATTCATGTTATTATGAATTTTGTTCAGCAACCAATACTAACATCTAAAAATTCACTTTAACATGAACTTTGCAAAAGAAATTAATTATTGTGATGTCAATTGAAGCAGGAGGCATAATATTATTAATCGAAAATAATCTCTTAAACATTTTCCAAGTGTCCAAAATGTAGTTTTCAATTTTTGGAGTTTGGAATTTTTCATAAAATTACTATACATATACATAGAAGTTAGAATTATTATAATACAGGTTTTTTACTGATCTTTGATGGCATATAAACCAAAAAAAAAAAAGTCCTCTTTCCAGCATTGATTATTAGGTAGGTAGTTTTAGGTTCTAGTTTTAAAACGTTTTTTTGGTTTAGTGAAAATATATTATATTAAAACTTATCGGGCTGTGAAAGCTAAAAAATAAATTTGTATGTGCAACAATATTGAATAAAGTTTCATTAATGAATAAAGTTTGTTGTTTTATTTTTTTAGTACTTCTCCCTATTAGTGTGGTAAAATAGGAGTGTATTTTTTTTTTGTTTAAATAAATTTTAATAATTAAATATTCACAGTGCTTAAACTGCACGATTTTCAGGTTTGCAACGGAAAAAAATGAAAGCGACTACATCCCTATGAAAACCCTTTCATGTTTCAAGTAAATCACAATTGTATACGGAGTGTTTTTGAATTGAAGGCTACAATAATGGACTAATTATGACTTAAAAAATGTCCATCAATTAAAAATCACTTTGTATTTTAGATTTTTAAGTTGTGACAATTATTATTTCGCACATTGAATAGGAAAGTTCGAAGCACAAGCTACTTATTTGCTAAAAGCCAAATTATGATGTTTATTACCAGAGATTGAAAATTGTAAGTTGCAAAAAATTACTCAACCAAAAGTGCCTCAGCTTTTGTACCCCTTTAATTTGCCATATTAGTTTTTAAGTAACACATTTTTGCAACTTTCAAAGAATCTTTGAATATTTAAGGATTTTGTTTAAATAAGCACCACATAGTATTTCAAGACCCTAATGCTGTTAACCAATGCAAGTATTATTTTGTGCACCTTTTATATTAAATAAGAAATTTGTTTAGGATTAGAACAGAAACAAGGCATCGAATAATGTTCTGAGTTTTCTGGGCTTCAGATTATAATCCTACTGAAAAGTTTATGGAATTGTGATATTAGAATGTTAAGTTTTCAGCTAGGGTCTCGTATTCCCCTCGAATATATTTTCAATTTTCAGATAGACAGGGTGTTACAAATTTGTGAATAAGTATGGGTAATTATAAGAGATATAAGGTGGGTTAAATTGGGGCAAATCTATGCAATTTCTTGCAATATAGTAGAGTGCTCCTTTTAATATATTTTGACTTTTGTGAGCGCGTCGGAGTTACAAGCTGAAATTTTCACAGAATGAAGATTTTATTATGTTAATTCAAAATCCCAAGGTAATACAAAATTAAAACGGGCAAAAGGGCACTATAATTAAAAATTGAGATTATTGCATAAACATATAGAATATTAATTTACTGTGGCGTGTTTACCATGTAAGCTAGGGAAGCACAGCTTCCCCTCGAGGATTTATTAAGAACACTAAACTAAACTTTATATAGACATTTTCAAAAAGAAATATATGAAACTTGTGAATGGCTGACTGGTTCTGAAATTATAAGTCTCTCCTGTGTACTTTCACCATCTTTCCCCACAGCTTCCCCGTCTGTTAAAGTCTGGACACGCCACTGAATAATTTATGACTGTTTTCATACATTTCCAAATGGTAGATTCATCGAAAAAGCAGGTCAAAATTTGTGGAAAACAACCCTGACATCAATTCCAAATACCCATTTCAAGCAGAAACAAAAATAAAAAGAAAATCCTATTTTTGGCACTGGAAAATTTTCAAAATCCTAACATGGTCATGAACAATTACCCATAGCTCTGGTAAATTTTGAGCAAATTAAAATAAATTATACACCATTTGAAAGAGCCTTAAATTCTCTATAAATCTGTGCAAAATTGAGCTGGATAGCTCGGATAGTTTTTGAGCAATTTAGCCTCAAAGTTGACTTTTAGTCCAAGTTTTGTCAAAAACTTCAAACTCAATTTGCTCATAAACTAGAAATCTGGAAATATTGTAAATTACAGGCCATTTAGAACTTGATAAAAGCTACAAATTCTGGAAATTTTAATGCAATTTGCTCAACGGTTACCGAACAATTGAGGTTTGAACATTTTGAAATCAGAATTCAAGGGGATACCCTTATGAAAAATTCAATTTTTTTATTTTTTAGTTTTGCTCAATTTTGACTTTATGAATCGATAGAGCGGGTAATAATTAGTGGAAAACAACCCTAATATCAATACCAAATGGCCATTTTAAGAAGACACAAAAATAAAAAGAAAATCCTATTTTTGGCACTGGAAAATTTTCAAAATCCTAACATGGTCATGAACAATTACCCATAGCTCTGGTGAATTTTGAGCAAATTAAAATAAATTATACACCATTAGAAAGAGCCTTAAATTCTCTATAAATCTGTGCAAAATTGAGCTGGATAGCTCCTATAGTTTTTGAGCAATTTAGCCTCAAAGTTGACTTTTAGTCCAAGTTTTATCAAAAACTTCAAACTCAATTTGCTCATAAACTAGAAATCTGGAAATATTGTAAATTACAGGCCATTTAGAACTTGATAAAAGCTACAAATTCTGGAAATTTTAATGCAATTTGCTCAACGGTTACCGAACAATTGAGGTTTGAACATTTTGAAATCAGAATTCAAGGGGATACCCTTATGAAAAATTCAATTTTTTTATTTTTTACTTTTGCTCAATTTTGACTTTATGAATCGATAGAGCGGGTAATAATTAGTGGAAAACAACCCTGATATCAATACCAAATGGCCATTTTAAGAAGACACAAAAATAAAAAGAAAAACCTATTTTTGGCACTGGAAAATTTTCAAAATCCTAACATGGTCATGAACAATTACCCATAGTTCTGGTAAATTTTGAGCAAATTAAAATAAATTATACACCATTAGAAAGAGCCTTAAATTCTCTATAAATCTGTGCAAAATTGAGCTGGATAGCTCGGATAGTTTTTGAGCAATTTAGCCTCAAAGTTGACTTTTAGTCCAAGTTTTGTCAAAAACTTCAAACTCAATTTGCTCATAAACTAGAAATCTGGAAATATTGTAAATTACAGGCCATTTAGAAGTTGATAAAAGCTACAAATTCTGGAAATTTTAATGCAATTTGCTCAACGGTTATCGAGCAATTGAGGTTTGAATATTTTGAAATCAGAATTCAAAGGGATACCCTTATGAAAAATTCAATTTTTTTATTTTTTAGTTTTGCTCAATTTTGACTTTATGAATCGATAGAGCGGGTAATAATTAGTGGAAAACAACCCTAATATCAATACCAGATGGCCATTTTAAGAAGACACAAAAATAAAAAGAAAATCCTATTTTTGGCACTGGAAAATTTTCAAAATCCTAACATGGTCATGAACAATTACCCATAGCTCTGGTAAATTTTGAGCAAATTAAATTAAATTATACACCATTAGAAAGAGCCTTAAATTCTCTATAAATCTGTACAAAATTGAGCTGGATAGCTCCTATAGTTTTTGAGCAATTTAGCCTCAAAGTTGACTTTTAGTCCAAGTTTTGTCAAAAACTTCAAACTCAATTTGCTCATAAACTAGAAATCTGGAAATATTGTAAATTACAGGCCATTTAGAAGTTGATAAAAGCTACAAATTCTGGAAATTTTAATGCAATTTGCTTAACGGTTACCGAACAATTGAGGTTTGAACATTTTGAAATCAGAATCATACCCTTATGAAAAATTCAATTTTTTTATTTTTTTAGTTTTGCTCAATTTTGACTTTATGAATCGATAGAGCGGGTAATAATTAGTGGAAAACAACCCTAATATCAATACCAGATGGCCATTTTAAGAAGACACAAAAATAAAAAGAAAATCCTATTTTTGGCACTGGAAAATTTTCAAAATCCTAACATGGTCATGAACAATTACCCATAGCTCTGGTAAATTTTGAGCAAATTAAAATAAATTATACACCATTTGAAAGAGCCTTAAATTCTCTATAAATCTGTGCAAAATTGAGCTGGATAGCTCCTATAGTTTTTGAGCAATTTAGCCTCAAAGTTGACTTTTAGTCCAAGTTTTATCAAAAACTTCAAACTCAATTTGCTCATAAACTAGAAATCTGGAAATATTGTAAATTACAGGCCATTTAGAACTTGATAAAAGCTACAAATTCTGGAAATTTTAATGCAATTTGCTCAACGGTTACCGAACAATTGAGGTTTGAACATTTTGAAATCAGAATTCAAGGGGATACCCTTATGAAAAATTCAATTTTTTTATTTTTTAGTTTTGCTCAATTTTGACTTTATGAATCGATAGAGCGGGTAATAATTAGTGGAAAACAACCCTAATATCAATACCAGATGGCCATTTTAAGAAGACACAAAAATAAAAAGAAAATCCTATTTTTGGGAATGGAAAATTTTCAAAATCCTAACATGGTCATGAACAATTACCCATAGCTCTGGTAAATTTTGAGCAAATTAAATTAAATTATACACCATTAGAAAGAGCCTTAAATTCTCTATAAATCTGTACAAAATTGAGCTGGATAGCTCCTATAGTTTTTGAGCAATTTAGCCTCAAAGTTGACTTTTAGTCCAAGTTTTGTCAAAAACTTCAAACTCAATTTGCTCATAAACTAGAAATCTGGAAATATTGTAAATTACAGGCCATTTAGAAGTTGATAAAGCTACAAATTCTGGAAATTTTAATGCAATTTGCTTAACGGTTACCGAACAATTGAGGTTTGAACATTTTGAAATCAGAATCATACCCTTATGAAAAATTCAATTTTTTTATTTTTTTAGTTTTGCTCAATTTTGACTTTATGAATCGATAGAGCGGGTAATAATTAGTGGAAAACAACCCTAATATCAATACCAGATGGCCATTTTAAGAAGACACAAAAATAAAAAGAAAATCCTATTTTTGGCACTGGAAAATTTTCAAAATCCTAACATGGTCATGAACAATTACCCATAGCTCTGGTAAATTTTGAGCAAATTAAAATAAATTATACACCATTTGAAAGAGCCTTAAATTCTCTATAAATCTGTGCAAAATTGAGCTGGATAGCTCCTATAGTTTTTGAGCAATTTAGCCTCAAAGTTGACTTTTAGTCCAAGTTTTATCAAAAACTTCAAACTCAATTTGCTCATAAACTAGAAATCTGGAAATATTGTAAATTACAGGCCATTTAGAACTTGATAAAAGCTACAAATTCTGGAAATTTTAATGCAATTTGCTCAACGGTTACCGAACAATTGAGGTTTGAACATTTTGAAATCAGAATTCAAGGGGATACCCTTATGAAAAATTCAATTTTTTTATTTTTTAGTTTT